CATTTTATCGTACATATGACAAAATAGTGAAATTTACATACAAGACAAAAACAAGTGTCACAATAACAAACATATAATTTACATTGTTACAACTGTTCTAATCTTAAGTATAAGGTAATTCCTGAGCTAAACAGCTAAGGATATCTTAATAAAAAGATAAATTTTATCTTGTAGAACTGTTGTCAAAATAAAGATAAATATGGGCTATGGTCAGTCTAAACATCATGGAAAGAGAAATATCACTGTAGTGAGATTATCTATCGAAATCTAAGGAAAGATAAAATAAAAAGAAATAATTCATTTATTTTCCAAAATTCGAATCCAATTAATGTATTGGTCTTGTTTATTTATAAGAAGTATAGAGGAGACTGGTAAATCTTTTTCCATTTGGAGTTGGAATAAAACTTGATTACCAAGCTGACTCCTCAAGAAAGGAAGATGCGACTTCCATTGTCTTGCTATTATTATCTTCACCACCAAGAAGCAATGGTTTACGAGGCACTTAGAAGAAGTGGAAGAAAGTTTCCAATTTAAATGTAACAGTGCTGTATCCGGGCCTTTTTTAATTGTAATATTAAATAAACATTTTATACCACATATATATATTTATACCACAATCACTTTGCAGTTTGTAATCTTTGAGCGCACAGTAGACCTAACTACTCAGCTTACATTTGTGCAATACAAACAATCTGTCATAATAAGACTTTATAATAGATCATCATTCTTGATTGAGGAAGTCACCGTTACTTGTTGTTGTGGAAATAAGGTCTGCACATATTTCCTAGTTAATGAAAAAATGTCTATTTACTTATTTCACTATATGCAATATAAGCTAAGCACACATGTTTAATCAAAATGGCTGCTAGAAGCTTCTATCTCCTCCTCTCCTCCCCCTCCCTCTAACATCAACTAACTACCTCGTGTGGCAAGATGGCGCCGGGAAACCGTGGGAGACCCTCATGGCCCTGGTGACATCACCTCCAGTAGGCAGAGCATTAGAGCGACCACTTAACACCTAACCAATTATTGATGTATTATTCCATGTTATCTCTGACAATGCTTATGATGTAATTTTGCTTTAAAAGGGACCTGCCGTCCCCTCTGAATAAACATTCCTCAAGTTATTCAACAACCTGGAACCTGTGTCTGGTGTGAATTACTTCAGGGAGCGTGCACGCATTGTTTCATTGATTTGGCCAGGGGCAGATACACAAAGAAATAATCAATGTATTGATTGATTTTTCCATTTCAATTGGCGCCCAACGTGGGGCCACCGGAGGGCCGGTTCGGAGGGCCGGAACCAACGGACCGGAGCGGACCTCCGGAAAGTGGGACAAGCGGAGCCTGATCACCTCCATAATACAGCCGTTGCCTGTGTTATTCTCCTGTTTTGTGTCGGTCTGTCTCCGAGTCCACTTCCGGCTTCCAGAAGGCTACGAGAGACAGGTAATTAACTCATCCGGTGTGCCTTTTTAAAGTGGACCTGTCGATCGTCTATCTGCCTCCTGTATTCGTTTAAATGTGTGTGTGTGTCGGCCGGTGTGTGTGTGTTTTCCCCTCTGTAAAAGATGATAGCTTGACTGCCTAGCGGGCAGGGAACGCATTTTATTTTAGCTTGACTGCCTAGCGGGCAGGGAACGCATTTTATATGTTAGCTTGACTGCCTAGCGGGCAGGGAACGCATTACAGCCGGTGGGGCTGGGATTTTATTTTAGCTTGACTGTCTAGCGGACAGGGAACGCATTACAGCCGGTGGGGCTGGGATTTTATTTTAGCTTGACTGCCTAGCGGGCAGGGAACGCATTACAGCCGGTGGGGCTGGGATTTTGTTTGATTACTGCAGAGTTTCATTGGTACTTGTGTTATAACGGGGCCAGCCTGGTGGGGGAGGGCTTGGGATTGCTACATTGTGAATATTTGGCACCAGTGGTGTTAACATGTACATGGCCATTTTACTCTCTGTCATTCTGTGGTTTTTGTTTAATTGTTGTTACAGTGTGGGTACCCTTGGTGTGTGTGTGTGTGCATAGTGTGGTTAGTTCTGGATTCCGGAGTTTACGCTCATTTATATGTTTGTGATTTCTGCAAATGTCTTCCCATTAGCGTAGCCACGTTCATTTTCTCCTTTGTCCTTTATCTCTCCTGTGCCTGTTGCCCAGAGCTGTGTTAGTCACCCACGCTCGCTCGCTCCCGTCCGTGACCACCACCCCGGGTGGGCGGACCCCTGTGACTAGTCCACGTTTGGGGAAGACGCACGGGACTCAAGTCCTCGTGGCAGTCGAGCACTGTAGACATTCCTTTTCCTTCTCCCTTGTATCTCTTCAATTTATCTGTCCCTAACACGTGGCTCATTTCGATTATTCAAGATGGGGCAGGAACATGCTAGACCTGCTAAGGGCCTGTTGGCTTGTGATATTGTAAAAGAAAGGGCAGGGGAAGATGCTATGATGAAACTTAGAAAGATTGCTAAGGTGTGTGGCTTTCATATGCCGCCCAGTGGGAGATTGCAACCTGAGTTTTGGAGGAAGTTACTCACAGACAAGGAAGGGTTGTTGTTGGATAATGGGCTCACGAAGGCTGCAGAGGCTTGGTATCGGGTAGCTAGAGGTCTGAAACGGGAGGGGTGGGTCGAGGAAGAGTTAGATTTTGAGGGGCAAACTGTGTATGTATACCATAGGAATGTTAACAATGATGATGTTGTTTCCATTGTCCCACGGCCACCGCCCTATGATGGCGCCCAGAGCGCAACAGTAAACTCCCGCCCTGCTTCCCCTGTCACAGCACAGACCACACCCCCGGGGGCGTGCCTTCAGCTCCCACCCCTCTGTGCCCCATACTTGGTGCAGACGGTGCCTACTATTATCCAGTGCCACTTCATCCGTTCCCACCCACTCCCGTGCACCAGTCTTCGTTTGACCCAGCCCCCTCCCTTACCCCTCCTCCCGTTACGTCTGTTGATGTTCCCCCGCCTCCATGTCCTCCGCCACCTCTCCCAGTGCCTGTTCCTACTCCAAATCCTACCTCGAGTACCCCATCCCTAGCGACACCCGTTCCTTCACCCCCCTCAACCGTTTCACACTCTGCCCCCTCGACCCTTGTCTATCCCACCGACCCCATTCCTACAGATCCCTGTTCCTCCACAGATCCCCCTTCTCCCATACCTCCGGACCCAGATCTTTCCTCCTTCTTTGCTAGCCTTTCGAAAGTGACCTGTCCCGTGACTCCTGCCCCTTTACCCTCTCTGCCTATGTCTCCTTCTCATATTCCTTCTCCTTCCCCCTCTAAGGATCCCTCGTCCCTACTCCCCACTCTCATGAATCCTGACCAGCCCGCTAATCCCGGCCCCCCTGTCTCCGCTGTCTCCTCCCCTCCCGTTGATCTTGCAGCGCTAATAGCCGCCCTTACTGCTTCACCCCATCCTCCCGCGATACTCCCAGGCACCCCTCCCACCCTTCAGGACCCTCCCGTTATCCACACACCGCCTCCTACTCCCGATGTCCCGGCCCCCTCTACCTCATTGTCTCCTCCCCTGATTTGCCATCCC